AGGGAAAAGGGGCAAGGGTGTAAAGGGAGGAAAAGTTGAGGAGACGAAACGGTGTAATTAGCACGTGGTAATAAGTGGTACAACTATTTGAAGACAAGTATCGTTGTATGGCAAAGTTTTCTCTTTCACTCCATCCCTCCCTCTCTCCTTCTCTCTCCTTCTCTCTCTCACCCTTACCCTTTTCCATAACTCCCTACATTTATTTCTCTCTACAATTCTCTCTCTTGCTCTAACCATTTCCTTCATTTTTCTCTCTCTCTCTATTTCTTATTTCACCTTTCTCAACAACTCTATCAGTTTCTCCTTCTCGATTCAACAACCCTATCTATTTCTCTCTCTCTCTCTTTCTCTTATTTTCTTGCACTTTGTTTTATTTCTTTCATTTTTTTCCTCACTTCTATTTTCTATTACTTCTCCTATTTCCTTCCGTCTCTTTCTCTTCTTTAAATTCATGAAAATATAACAAATAATTAGTTTAACCGCAAGACTTGTATGTTAGAATTCGAGAATACCTAGACGAGAGATGTTTAAAATTAATGAACTTCATTACGCGTTACGTTTAATTGACGCATTAATTATAAGAGAAGCGAAGAAAGCCCTGGTACACGGAAGTCGTGAAAAAAAATTAATTTGCTCGACGTGAATACTTCTCGTTCCACTTTTCTCTCTCTCTCTCTCTCTCTCTCTCTCTCTCTCTTTCTCCCTTTCTCTCTTTCTTTCATTTTGATACATTTATAAAAGTCGATATATACCTGTATATACATATATATGTTTCAAAATGCAAACTGTCCAGACCAATTTTCATCACTTTAACTAATAATTTAACGAGAATTTCCATACAAAAAAAAATATACCTTGATCATCTCTATTTATTTCTCTGACTTTCTATCTGTATAAAAACAAATTTGTGAAATTCAATTTAAATGGAAAAAAAAAGAAAGAACAAAAAGATGCTTTCGTGAAAAATATGTTAATAAAATATAAAAAAAAAAAAAGAAACAAAAGAAAGACAAAAAGAGAGAGAGAGAGAGAGAGAGAGAGAGTACGTAAAATGTTAATAAAAATTCAGTTCACTTTCCACCAATGAAATTGGAATTCTGCGTTTATGTGAGAATGCAATTTTTAATTGAGGCATTAGTCGATGCATGACATTCCACCCGCATACGTTTTGTTGTGTCGTTTACGCGAATACCAATTCTAGGGGAACTCGTTCACGGCATTTTACCCGGATAATTAGGGGAATGGCGAATCAACAATGACAAATTAACGAGTTTGTTGGGCCGCGTTGAATCACGTTTCATCTTTTCCACGATTTTTACATCTTTTTCTTCCGTATACTCGAATAAATATATGCATGCACACATAATTGTGTATGTTATGTTTAAACATATATATATATTACATAAATTAATACACACACACATATACAAATTTCTTATTTTTATATTCTACATCGTTACCGGCAAATTATAAATCGATTAATTGTACATACAGCACGCTGGGGCATTTGAAACGTTCCAGTAAAATGTTACGTATTTTCTTTCTCATTCTCTTATTCATTCGTTTTGAATATTTCGTTATTAAAACGGCTAATTAAAATTACATCGAGTTGAGAATGACAAAACGAGGTAAAACGTAAAAAAGAAATAAATTTCTTTTGCCGAACACACGATTGAAACGATTTATTCCGTTCCCGTATCTCACGTATATATATAGAATTCTAACCGTGAGTTATTGAATATGCACAATTTTCAAATATTTATTCGATATTTCCTTTCGCGCAAGAGTAAAGCATAGATCGAGTCTATGTTTGATGGTTTTCGTGGATGGATTTGAAATCCCAAGAAAGCGAGGAATAACACTCTTTGCGGGAATCTTTTCTTAAGAGAAATAGTACGAAATCCCAAAACCATTTCGTCGAATTCTTCTTCTTTCCGATGCGCGGACGACGTGCTCCTTTCTTTCTTTCTTTCTTTTTTGTTTTTTCCTCATTTTATCATCGACAGAGATTTTCCTTTTACGTGAAATATAAAAATAAAAAAGCAATATATTTTCGAAAATTTACCGAACAAAATAAAGAACAATATAAAATCAATGATATTGTTTTGGAAAATTAATCTGCTAGAATATTTTAATCAACGAATATGTTTAACGTTATATCCGTAAAATGAGACTATATTTTGAAACGATATCTGTGTTATTTTTAATCTATTATAATGTAAAATATATCATTTATACTGCACGAACCGACAATAAGGCAATCAGAAATTTGTACGAGCGCGATATCTTTTTACCCCGTTCGTTTAATTATTTTCAATTATTAGTAATTATTATCGAAATAACGTAGTATGATTGAGAGAGATAATAATCCAACAACAATTGAAATTATTAAATGTATTATTAATAAATTCATTTTATGATATAAAATATCATTATTAAATATAATATTACATAACCGTAATAAAAAAAAAATGTTCTTCGTAACATAGTTGTGTTAATAAATTTTTAACTACAGAAATTTTCTTCATATATTATATTATCTATTATATTTAACTATCAAAGTTATTTCTAAATGTTCTCATTACGAGAAAATTCTCTACTTTAGAAAATTCTCGCATAGTTCAAGGATGCAAATTTCTAGACATTCGAGAAGAGACACCCTTTACTCTGCTCACCTTATGTCACTTTCTGTCCCCTCCCCTTCCTTCCCCCATCGTTTCCACCCCTTTACGTCGTTATCATCGACGCATAGTTCACCTTCGTCGTTTTCCTTCAACGCTTTTGTCCTCTCAGTTTTCTTCTCGACGTTTCTCAAATGCATCCACGGGTTCCCTCAGGTTGCACTAGAATTTTCTTCCTTTATCTTTTTTCCCCTTCTCGCTACCACCCCTTAGAAAAAGGCTGATGGTCCGTTTCCCATGAGAAACGAGCACTTTTTGTTGGTACCGTTACCCGTTCGTCGGATTGCCCGCAATAAATTGAACAACGCCTTGCTTTTGGTATGCTCCGATAAAAAGAACAAAAAACAAAAAAACAAAAAAAAAAGAAAATAGATAAAAAACATTGAAGCGAAACAAAAAAGGAAAAGAAAAAAAATGGTAGGGAAAGGAATAGGCATTTGGTAATGGGGGTGGAGGGTGGGGGTGGGGATTCGAGGGAAAATAGGATCCATCGATCCTTTCTCCAACGATTTCGAAGGATTTTAAAACGTGGTAGGAGGAGGAGGAGGAATCGTTCGCTTAATAAAAACATTCCACGGCATCGTTTATTTTTCTGAGAGCTTGGTAGAAATGCGAAAACGAATGAGAGAAACATACAAAGACAGAGACAGAGAAAGAGAGAGAGAGAGAGAGAGAGAGGAAAATGGCAGATCGTTTTTATCAAACTCATTCTTATTCTCTCTCTCTCTCTCTTTTTATTATTTTTTTATATTTTTTTCCCGCCCGCTGGTACCAGTGTGACAAACTTTTCTCGCCTTGTATACCCAAGAGGGATTTTGCGCATTAATATCTCCGTAGTAATATCCTTGATTAAAATTCTATCGTTCTATTGGGAAAAAAGGTTGGCCCTAGGGTTTATAGGAAAGATGCGATAGTTACGGTTACCTGGGGAAAGGGGAAAGGTACGAGTGGGAAGAAGGGGTAGAATGAGGTTGGGTGAGGTGAGGGAAAGATAAGGTAGTTAGGGTGGAAAGTTCCAATGGCGGTTAGGAGTAGAGTAGATGGCAATAGAAAAGGATTAATTTTCTTCGACAATAACTTCGATCTCTGGTACGTAATTAAACCGCGGAACCTTCCTTCCTTCTTCATTCGCATCGTAGAAAATAACTTCTCTCGTTTGTCTACTAAAGTTAGAGAGAAATAGAGTGTGTAAAAGAGAGATAGATAGATAGATAGAGAAAGAGAGAGGGTATAAGGGTGAAGAGAAAAAGACGAAAGAAAATTAATTCAATTCAGTCGGTTCCTTCAATTATCCTTTTCGCTCGTCCACAATTAGCAATTCGATGATCCGATCGGTAGCCATGCGACAGAACGAAATTTCCAACGATTCGTTTCGAAACTTAGTTGAAATGCTGAAATGTTCCTCCATCTTTCTTTAAACTTCTTCCTCTTATTCTTCTTTCTTATTTGTTTCTTTTTTTTTTTCTTTTTTTTTTTTTCTTTTTCTTGCTTCCCTTTTTCCATTGTAGATTTATTCTCGATTATATTTAGGATTCTAATTTCTGAAGATATAATTCTTTAATTTGATTCTATATATATATGTATAAAATCTCTAATTCAATCATGGAAATGGAACATTTAATTATGTAATTTTTGTTGAATCATTCTGCATTTCGATAATTAAATTTTATCTATTATTATTGCCATCGTATAAATAAAAAACAAAAAATTGGATATGGTAAATGATGATGAAATTAAGGATTGCATTTTTTTGTTTAGGTAAGAAAATATTACTTTTTGAAAAGTTGATTAAAAAACTTGATTAAATACGATTTATACAGACAGCTTCTAACATTAGCATTGAAAGTGATAGTGGGAAGACAAAAAAATGATTAGCATATTCATTAGATGAATTTTAGTGTTTAAAAGGGATCTAACATATAAATGTGTCTCTAACCTAATTCAATCGTAGGATTAGAACATTGATTTAAATATAATCTAACTCATTCTCTCACGCGTTTAATTTCACCTATGTTTAATTACGAGATAGTTCAAAGATCTAATTTGTTCTTAATATTTTTACATATTTGAATACATACGATTGTATAAGTTTTATTCAATTTTATTAAAAAAAAAGATAGAAATATTCTTTGAATAGTTTTAATTATCGAATTATTGTGCTGGTATATGAAAATTATGGATACACGTGTTTATTTTAATTCGGTCACGACAGAATAAATCATTTACATTTTTAATAAAAATATGATACGTTGAAAGGAGCTAACGGAAAGAAAGAAATATAACATTGATTTATGTATTCCTTGGCTCGTCCTGTTACAGGAGAACATCCGGCTGCAATGCAACATGGAAATTCAAGCAACAGCGGTGCTGCCACGAGGACACTGGCATTGCTGCTCTTACTTCTGCACGCCGGATCCTTCGCGAGGTGACTGGTCGATTGCGAGGACGTTCTATAAACGCGCCAACATCGATCGTGTCTCTCCCAAGCCTCCTATCTGACAGGGGAACGTGTGGAATAGGGAGAAGAACAAGAAGAGAGAACTAGAAGAAAAAAAAACAAGAAGAAGAAGAAGAACGAGACTGGAAAAAAAGATCAAGAGCTAGAGAGAAAGAGGGAATAAAAAAATAAAAAAATCGAAAACAGAAACTACAAAAAGAAAAAGATAAAAAAAACCATCAATCGTTGGAGAGAAGGAGAGAAAGAAGAAGAAGAAGAAAAAGGTGGTGGGAGATGTAGGTGAAGTTTGTAGAGGGTGTAGGTGAACGTGTATAGGAGTTGGGATTGGGATGGTAATGTGGGTGGTGGTGGTGGTGGTTGTGTGGGAGAGAACAGAACACATCGAGCGTAACGAGCTTGTTGCATCTACGGAAACCCCATGCATCACCCTCAATCTTCTTCCCTCCCGATAACTCCGCGCCGATAACTTTGCACACGAGCACGATCTATCACCGTGTATTGTATGTATGTGTTGTCTCTCACTATAATACGTACGAGTGTGTTTGACCTGTCTGTCTGTCTGCCTGCCTGCTTGTCTGTATGTATGTATGTCTGTATGTATGTATGTCTGTCAGTCTGTACGTATGCATGTGTGTATATCCATGATGACGGCTATCGCAGCCGAAATACAACCCAACGGGACAATACCAAAGTCTCGAACGGACCCTAAACGGACCTAAAATTCAGTTGGATCTACCATCGGACTTGTCCTTCCAGTTGGAAACTGTTTCGAGCCACCATCGCGTTTTCCTGTTATTATATACCTTTTACCATCACTCCTCCTACCCCTAAAGAGACCTAAACCAGCTTCTGTGTCGTGTATTCTCATCCCCTACCCCCACCCTCTTTCTCTTTCAATCTATTTATCCATCTATCTATCTATCTCTCTCTCTCTCTCTCTCTCTCTCTCTCTCTCTATCTATCTAACTCTCTTTATCTTTCCTCATACTCTGTCACTTCCGTTAGTATGATCCCAAAAGACATGATAGAGAGACAACAAGCATAACAGAACGAGAGAGAGAGAGAGAGACAAGATCTTATAAACCTATCTAGGAAGAATCCAGACAACACTGCGACACTCCCGGGACTTAAGTGTGCTTAAGGCGTGTGACACGTGCGAGTAGAAGGGTGGCCATACTCAAAGCCACCCAACAGCCTCTCCTACACCTACACCTCCACCTCCACCTCCACTTCCACCCATATCCACACCCACACCCCCAACCACTTCGCTCCCTTCTCTCTTTCCTTCCTTTCTTCCTGTCGCTTTTTTGTATCTGCTCGTAGGCTCTTAGGATCAATGTCGTTGTCATCGTCGTCGATGTGAAAGGAAGCAAAGGAAATCCTGTCGTTAAGTACGAGAAAATAAATGGCTCTGAATAATTGCAAGTTTGGACCATATTATTGGGGACTTTATATATTTAAATATATATATATATATGTATATATAATATATATATTATATATATATGTATTTTTATGTACGTATGTATATGTATATGTATTATATATGTTATATTTATCTACGAGGTGGAACTGATAACAGTTGTTTTCCTGGACTTCCTAGTGTTTTATCAAGAAAAATAATATAATATATAGATATGGAAAAATAAAGTAAAATAAGAAGAAAAAGAAGAAAAAGAAGAAGAAGAAGAAGAGGAAGATGAACTTTACAAATAATAACTCTGAAAAAGGGACATCAAAATATTCTGTGAGAGTGAAGATGACGATATAATTGTGTGGAACTAATTGAAATCGTTCGCTGTATGTCGCGAATGAACTTTTACTGTATGATTTTTTGTTTTCTTTCTCTTCAAAAATAACGCGTTGCATCTGTGTAGTTTTCGAACGGGCTATCGTCGTTGGTTGTCGTCGTCTCATAAAAAAAAAAACTGAGAGAATATGAGAAAGAGAGAGAAAATGTACAAATATCTCTTAATAATGTTAAGAAATATATATTATTAAGAATACGTAAATTATGGAACTCGTTTAATTGGCCTAACAGAATATAAAATTATTCGAAGATTCGTGAAATTACCTACTTTTCTAAGTTCAAAACCTCATTTATTCTCTTTCTCTCCCTTTCTCTATTTCTACTTTTTATAATTTTTTCTTTTTTCTACTAAGCAAATGCACTCTCATCCATGATACATTTTTTTGTTTTCATATTTCTTCCTTTATAAGCACAAGCTCGTTATTTCAACAGAATAATGTTGCTCGTTTCTAATTTGTGTGTATGTGCGCACGTGTACGTCATATTTCGTCGCTTCGGGTCATTGTAATATGTATCATGGAAAAAGAAAATGTCACTCATTGTAAAATGTTATAACATTTATTTTATTTGATTTTTTATTTTTGAAAAACATCTGGGTCTTTTCATTTCCATATATATAAATTATTAAAATGTCGATTCTTCTTATATTCGACGGTATTAAAACGTGAAAATCTAAATTCGGAATTTTAAGAGTATGAAAAAAAAAAAAAATAACGTTAAATATTTTAGATGAAATTGTTATACCAATCCTTTTTCTCTCTCTCTCTCTGTCTCTTTTCCTTTCGTTGTATTCTTTCCTTTCTTTTCATTTTCTTTTACTTTCTTTTTCTTTGAAGAACCGTCAGAATAAGCTCGTTCAATATCACGGTCCGTTGCTTAGTAGAAAATCGTCGAATAAAATAGCCTGTAAATCCGATGAACGTGAAACTATCAAACGGATCATAACTCGAAATTACGCGAGTGTATAGATATATATATCTTTCTTTCTTTCTTTCTTTCTTCCTTTCTTTCTTTAAAACCGAACGAAAGAAAAGGCTTACGGAAACTTTTCTATATTTTTTCCAATCGTCCGTTCTCTTTTTCTATTTCTATTCTTTAAAATCGATCTTATGCAAGTAGGTATATATATACATCTATGTGTCTATGCGCGTGTATATCTACTTTCGTTCGTGTACGTGTATGAGAGAAAATGATTTTTTGATAGTTTAATTAATTCTTGAAAATCTTCGATTTTTCCTCTCAATTCCTCTCTGTTATCCCTTAGAAATAAAATTCATTTAATGGGAAAGTTCGATCATTCGATAAAACTTCACTTTTCTTTTCTTCTACGAAAAACGGTAAAGCTCTTTTGGAAAGAGTTAGGGTAAAAGAGAGAAAGAGAGAGAAAAAGGGAGAGAGCAAATGAAAGGGGTCAAGGACTCAAACGAAATGGAGCTTTTAAAAGGAATTTTCAGTAGAAAGCAGCAACTCGCAATTATTTCTTCGATCAAGCGACACGTGCCATACCAACGGCTTAATAGTATTATCCGACGTTGACAAACGGTTCGTTCGAGATGGAAGGAGTAGTAGAACGAAATTAATAGCCGTTGAACTCCCTACGATCTTTCACCATGCCCCTGTTCTTCTTCCTTTTCCACCTTTCCCTTGTTTCGTTCTCTGTCATTACGAAACATCCCGTTTTCTCATTCTTCTTATTTGCCTTTCGGGATTTTAATCATTTTTTAATTATTCCAAATTGTTGTCTCGTTTCATTCGCGTGTCTCAATGATAACGTCAAGATTCCTTTTACTTTTTTAACCTTTCATTCTTTTTTTGTTCAGAATCATTCAAAAGTTCTTTTTTTATCGTTTATTTATTATATTCAATTGAAAATTTGTTATTGAAAATAACAAAAATATATATTTGAATATTTCATCTCGCTATATCTCTGCTATATCATTTTTAAATTATTCATAAATGTATTTTTTTCAAACATTATCTTTTTCATTATAAAATGAAACTAACATTTTCATTCTCTACTAAATTACTGGATTTTATTCTTCTTTCTCTTATTTCGTATAGTACTCAAAGTAGAACAAAATTAATAGCCTTTGTTGAACTCGCGACGATCGTTCACCCAACCTATTCTTTCTCTTCCGCGTTTCCCTTGTATCCCAAAGAGAAATAAGTTATTTAAATTCTATTTTCTTTTTACGATTTTGTAGTAATCCAAAGTTATTTATTATTTTTGTTCACGATTCCGTAAAATGTTAACAATTATTCAAGCAGAAAATTCATTTAGATTCTTTCTTCGCGAGATACTACCGGATTATTATTTTATTTTATTTTATTTCTTTTTTTTTTTTTTTTTAACAACACTTTAAGTAGCTCTAAATTAATAATTGTTTGTGTAAACTCGTAACAATCGTTCAACAAATTTATTCATTACTTTATTACGTTCCTCTTATTATTTCACCGTGCATCTCAATAAGAAATAATGTTTTGTTTTTATAGAATTTTCCATCAATTCGAAATTATTTATTATACTTATTTGCTATTCCGTGAAATATTAACAAAAATATATATATATTATTCGAGCATTCTTTTCTTATTTCTTATAAATTAGATCTATTTTCTTTCTCGACGGGTCTGCTGGATTTTGTCTTTTCTTCTCTCTTATTTTTCGCAATACTCGATATACAAAAGTCGCGTAGAAGCTTTGACAGCTATCCGTAAAGAGATTTTCGTCCGTACGAAAGGGGATAAATGAAATGAAAAAAGATCGAAAGAGAAAGAAGAAGAAGAAGAAGAAGAGTGACAAATACAATATAAAGGAGATCATTGGGATATAAAACAAAGACGGAAGGGTAACGATCGATAAAAATTCTATATCTCTATCTTTATTTCTTCAGACTAATGAGAAGTATCTTGAATCTATATTTCCTCTCTTTTCATAGACACAAAGACGATATTCGTGTCACAAATATATATATTTGTATTTCCTTTTATAACAAAGTTCTTATACAATAGAATGCAAGAGAAAAAGATTTTCTTCGATATAGTTCGAACAATAGCTTAGACTAATTAATTGGCTTTAAATATTGCAATCAAATTTCATTTTATTTATAATCTTTTACGATGAAATAAAGAGAGAGTGAGAGAGAGAAAAAAATTACCGATAAAAATATTTGTATTTTTTCACGCGTGAATAAGTAAATTCTTTACGAAAATTCGATAATACACCACCTTCTTTGTTGAATCCCATCGGACATCCCAATTTTGGAAGTAAATTTCACGAGGAAAAGAATCGATAGGGACGAGATTAGAGGAGAGGATTTTTTTTTATTTTTTTTTTTTTTTTGAGAAGTTCGAAAAACGTCAGGTTCCCCATAACGTGACGAAC